TTACCCTTTGGTACTAGGGTAACTATCATTGTTAACTTTAAGACATCCGTAGACGTACTCTTACCTCTGTTGCTAACAGCTGGGTATAGGAATAGTTAATCCCTTAATCGTATACCTGTAATGGTACCAACCGTTTGACATCCGTGGATGTACTTTCACCTCTGTGGCTAACAGAGATTTTAGGAATGGTCAATTCCACAACTGTATCCTTGGGTACTAGGATAATAAACCCAATCTATCTCGTCGGTTATGTGATTGAAATCACAAGGTAAGGATAAGAATGAGGGTTTTGATAACAGAGTCGATACATATAAAATGTAATAGGACTCCTCTTGATATATATATATATATATATATATATATATATATATATATATATATATATATATAACAGTGCTCTTATAAGCATGATCATGTAAAAGTAAACATGTATATGTACTTATGTAAATGTGCTCATGTAATTGTAATCATGTAAAAGTAATCATGTATATGTGCTTGTGTAAAAGTGCTAGCTGTAATGTGTGTTCTCTCTATCTAGCAAGTATAGTAATGTACTGTAATGTTCTAGAAAGTATTGACTCATGAATGAACTGACTCATTGTATGATATCGCATCCTAGTAATGGTTCTAGTATCTTCCTGAACTACCCATATGGTAGCTTACTAGTAAACTAAGTGGTACGTATTGACGTGGATGTATACCCTTGCTACCCAAGGGCATAGGATGAACTGGAAGGACCTTTTATGACTATATATGTACACATGATATATAACAAATCTTTAAATGACTTTCGGACGAATACCCAATGTCCCACCAGACCACATCTCAAGGCGCAAAAAGGAAATAGGGTGGATAGTCTTCCTATGTCTTTTAAACATTTCTTATATAACTATACATATAGAGGCATGCAATTTATAATAAAATAAAACATAAGTAAGTTTTGTAAAACAATTGAAACAGAAATATTATTTTAAGAGAAGATCGACTTGATGTCAATCTCTAAAACAATTTGGAGGCATAAGTATAATAAAACAATTTTGAGTACAAAGGAACATTTGTTTGAAACACAGTTGTAAATAAGTTTGAAGTATGAAAAACAGAGTAAGAAGTACAGTGTAAGAAGTAGTTTGAAAACATATAAAATGTTTATAAAAATCATTTGAAGGAAACTGTTTGGTAAAACGGCTAATGAGTAGCCAAATCTTTTGAATGTTGTATATTAATCACATGTGATTGATGTAATAAGTAATAATGTCCTACCTACAAATCACATGTGATTGACATAATAAGTAGCATGATTCTACTTGTATCCCCCCCCCCCCCCAATAAAACATTTGAAATAGTTTAAAACATTAGTTAAGGGGTATGAACTCACCTGCGGTAAATGACTGGAATTGAACGGATTGTTATTGTACGGAAGGATCGAACAAGTGCTTGGTGTCAAGTGGAGACTTAGACACACACAATGATCCTAATTACATATGAAAACATATGTATATAAATAATTAGTGATTATAACACTAATTATACAAGTAATAACATTTAAGCGCGAGGATAACACTTTTTGTCAAGTGCTAGGAGGCTAAAGGGTTGCAACAAAGGAGTGCAATGCCCCTAATGTGAGTTTAAGGTCAAAATATCATATTTATTAGAGTTTACGGCCCAAGGAAGTAAGTTCCTGGCCGTAAACTCCCAACCAAGGTTTGGGATGGTACTTTCAATTACTACAACCTTAGTGGGAATTGTTTCAAGGCATATACAAGTGTTTGGGCACCATATTGACTCCTTTGGGGAGTTTACGGCCCAAAGACCCTTTCCCTTGGAGTTTACGGCCGTAAACTCCCTTGGGAGGGTGATTATGGTGCCTTCAAGTCTCTCAAATAACTAGGAACAATTCTAGGCTTTTGTACTTGGCCTTAAGAGGATTTATGGCACCATTTGGTACCATTTCTTGGAGTTTACGGCCATAGAACATCTTGGGCCGTAAACTCCCTCAAACATGGGGTTCTAAATGTTTTAGCTAGTCCATAACTCATCCAGGTACTTGCCTTAAAAGTTTCTTGACCTAAGGAAGTGTCTAGGGTGTCATTTGACCCCTTTATGGGAGTTTACGGCCCAAGAAATGCTCTTGGCCGTAAACTCTTCAACACTTGAGCTTTTCATGAGTTTCCTAGGTCCTAAACACTTTAAGGTATTTGTCTAACATGAAATCCAAGCCTTTGGGGGTGATTAGGGCACCTTTAGCCCTTGGAAAAGGGGTTTACGGCCCAAGAAATGTTCTTGGCCGTAAACTCCTATAAACTTGTGATTTTGAAGTGTTTTGATGTCTAAAATAGTCACAAGCATATGAGGGTTAAATTCCTTAAGCTTTAGGGGTGAGCTAGGGCACATTTGTCCCTTGGAAATGGGGTTTACGGCCCAAGAACTCCTTGGCCGTAAACTCCTAAAGTGTGGTGATCTTGGATGATTTTGGACATGTAACAATGTTATAAAGCATCTAACAAGTATTAAAACACATCTAGGGAAGTAGACTCACAATCTGGGATGAAAACCCGAAGATCCGTCAGAGAGAAATGGGCTTTTCTCTAAATGGAATTCAACTAATGAACTAATTTGGTTCAGAATTCTATTTATAGTCCTGAGATTTTTGGCAGAAAATATTTCTGATCTCGGAATGGATTCTAATGATTCTAGGATAATGGAATTTATAGTGTTGCACAAAATCCTAGTGCAACCACTCTCCTAATACCCCTTTTTGGGGTAAAACCCTAAATCCGCCAAACTTATTCCAAAAGTTTGAATTTTCATTGTAACTGCTCTACTTCTATTGGATTGAAGTGGTTTGATTTAGAATGGAAATTTCGGGTTGTCACAGCCACATTTGTAAAAGAGCATGAGGCTTCAATTGCTAAGGCAACCTCTGCTATAGATGCCTCCACCAAGTCCTGCAAAGAAGCGACCGGAAAAGTCGAAAAACTAATTCATGATGCTAACATTTTTCTGGCGTTATTACAGGGTGCATCGGAGTTGAATGCAAACAAGGTGAACACCAGTGTGGAAAAGCTTGTTGTGTCTCTTGAGACTGAAAAGCAGTACTTTTCCACCATTTGTCAAAATATCCAAACAGATAACACTTAATTGCAGACATCTATAAATGAGCGTCTCAATAAACTCCAAGAAGATTTGGCCATGGAAAGCAGGATCATGGATGAAGTGGCTCTCAAAACAACTCAACTAAAGACTAAGTCACTGCAACTTTCTCAGGCAAACAAGAAGGTTGGCAACCTTCGCTCTGAGAGGATCTTCGTCAAGACTTGTGTCTCAGATGTTCATGCCATTCTCTCCAATGTTCTGGAAGCTCACGACTCAGTTCTCACTCTTTCTGTCAGACGTCATCTTGTAGAAAAGCTTGGTCCGACACTTGAAATGTTAAGTCGCATAGAGGGTGTTTCGTAGACTGTTGTCCCTCCAAAATAAGGGGAAGAAGGAATTACAAGCACTACTCAGCCTCCTATTACAAGCAAAACTGTTCCACCGAAGGTCACCACTGAACGACCGAAGGGTAATGAAGCTTCGGTTCTAGTGCGAAGGACAAGGGAAAAGGTGTTCTAAAAGATAGTGACGAAGAAGAAAAGACCATTGTTGAGGATCTGAAGAGAAATTAAATGGACAGGGAACTTGATCTCAATGCTAAGGCTGCTAGGGAATCCGAAGAGAAGGAGAGAAAAATGAAAGAAGCTCGCGATCTCTTGGAAAGAAGGAAAACGCTTTTTCCTCTTTGGTCGGTGGAAAAGCTGATTAAGGAAGCTATCGAATGTCCAAGCACACATTGACTTGAGCCAGTAGTGTCACTAGACTGTGAGAACTGTAGGGATTCTTAGTTTGAAATGCCTATAACCCAAAAGCCATTTGTCTTTCATTGTTTGCTTCCTATTGTTGAAGTTCCCCATCCTGACCCAAAAGTCGACAGGGATCTGATTGACTACTATCTTGAGTTTTCTCAGCCTCAATATCTTACCTGGAGCGCTCAAAAGATAACGACTGTCAGCGTACTAAAACCGACTGCAGAAGGGAAATTCATCAATGTTAAATTCAAGGTGACCAGAGGTTCAACTAACTCTGAGCATACAATTTCTCTGGCTGATCTACCAAATCTCAATCCCCATGACTGGATTGTGCTATACAACTTTTTGCTCACCAATCCAGTTGAATATGAGCCAATCATCGATCACATCAAGAGGATGTTGGTGTGCTACATTCTAGAAGTGGCAAAGTTGGATCAAGAAATTGCTTCGGTCCTTAAAAAGAAGCCAACGGTGGTACCCATTGGTTCATCTAGCGACATCAACAAAATGAAGATAGGGAAGATAGACCTGAAGCTCAACTCTGTGATGTTCACTGGAGGCGAAGGTCAAAAGTGCTTGTTCGGTCTAATTGATAAACATCTTTTCACTACAACTTGCTTGGAACACGTTTTGGATATCATACATAGGTGCAAGTAGAACAGTGAAGGTGACAAGAAGTATTTCACTGATATGATTAGATGGTATATCGATTTTCATCAAGTCCTACTTGCTATCATTCTGAAGTTGTTCAAAGTGGTGAAGCGTACTGCAAGAAATCAACATAAGTGAAGTCTCGCCCTAATTGACGCAAAGAGGGAGATTGTTGGGACCTGAAGTGTTGCGTCTTTGGCTTGCTCCTTAGCCTAAGTTTATTATTGGTATGGGCCTGTCTAACCGTGTTTATTTTTATTAGGGTTTAGTATTTAAGGTGCATGCATGCATCCTTTGTAATGATCGCTTTCATTATTATTCTCATAATTGTACTACAAACCCTAGCTTGCCTCTACAGTGGAAATTCTTTATCGAGCTCCGCTGAGGCGTGACTATTCTTGAATCATTAAGCAACACTTTGATTCCATCTCGTGTTTACTGTGTTTGTTTGTTTTTATTAATTAACCCGTTGAAGATCTAATCGATCTAAGAGTTCTCAACTCATCACAGCATACAAACATAATATTGTCTTGCCTCTGGGTACATCTCCAAAATCAATATCTATGGAAAAAAAGGTAAGTATGATGCTATTATAGTATAAAATTAAAGTACAACGGTATTATATAGTACAAACGGAAGTACAATGCTATTATGGTATAAAATACAAAAGTATGATAACTATTTAAATACATTAGAAACTAACCTTAAACGGAAGCATAAAACCAGCAACAGTATAGTTGTGTACTTTCGTCGATTCGGGATTGACCTGCTTAAATATTCTAAATTTTTCTATTTTAACATTCCATGCATCAACCCTGAAGTATAGGTCCAAAAATATGTATCCCATGCAAACCTGCAATTTTCAATCTATATATTATAATTATTATTGTATTTATACACAGTTTTTAAATGTAATAACTGTTCCAATCATATATATTATCAACAAGCTTGTATATTGCCGTGGGAATGCACGATTTAACGTCCCATCCATGGAGACCTTTCAACATAAAAACAAGCTGGATAAGCATTACCGTATCTTTATCCTGAAGTGCCAAATAATTTGGAGACATAATGTACTCTTCTAAATCTTTGGGCCGCAAACGTGAATCTGTAATGTCTGGGAACAACCGAGCCCGGAGATTTGAATTTGACTGACCTCTTTCGTCATGGAGTAAATCCACATAAGGACCAAATCTTAACCCACTAATCAAAATATACTCAGTTTCACCAAAATCCAACTGCATCCCCTGTATCTTAAACAGAAACCTCCCCGATTCAAACACTTCTTGAGACCGTACTTCATGTAAACATCATCAAATGCACGAGTAAGGGGTCACCATTGGGGACATGCATTCCTAAGAATCTTCCAAATGATGAAGCTTCAAATAATGCTCGTTGTGATTGACTTAGCCGCGAAAAATAGTCTTTACTGATTGTACCGACCACACATTTTAAAGTTAAATTAGCTTTTTGTTGGAGATCATTGTGCTACAAAACGTTTTCATTTAATTTAATATAAAACATTAGTAACTGAAAATAAAAACAAGGTTTTAAAATTACATAGTAAATTCGGTTAAGGTAATAAATAGCAACGTAATTTCAATTTACATTATAAAATTAAAAAAAATACCCGATTATACCATTCACATCAATGTACATTAAAAACTAAATACCAACGTACTTTCAAATTAATTGCTATAAAAGGTTCATTTTGAAATTAATTGATATAAAAGGGCCAAAAAAAGGAAAAATGGAATTTTAGGTCAAATATGGTGGAGAGTATAGGTCATTCCGCGGAAACCCCTATGTAGAGTGACATATCCCCTTCATGGAATGGATCTTCACCATTTCAATTAAATATTAGGTCATTCCACGGAGAGTATAGGTCACTCCGCGGAGCGCCCTATGTAGAGTGACCTATCCCTCCGCGGAATGGATCTTCGCAATTTCAAATCCATTTTAGTTCCATTTGCGCCTATTTGCAGGTTATGAATTGCATGTTCATACTATTTTAATCATAAATCTAGTCAATATGAAAAAAAGGAAACATTAATATAAAGAACGTGATAACGGATTACCCAGGAGCCATATCCATCGGCGGAAATGTTGGGGAAATATCGATCCATCTGTTGTTGCCGAAAAATGTGTTCCAAAGTGAGGTTGAAGTTGATGTCAGAAGAAAGGGATGCCGACGAGGGTTGCTGACGGAAGAAGGGGAGTTGCTATCGATGCGGAGAATTGAATTGAAGTTGAGGGAGCAGGGGGATCAAAGAGGAGACCCGTTTTTATAATGAGGGGAGAAACGAATTTACCAAAACACCCTGATTTCGCCGAGCATTCGTCGGTCCGCGGAACTCGTAGAGGGGAGCTCCGCGAAATGTATGTCTATAGCTAGAATTTTTTGTTTTTCTATGACTAAATTTTAAAATCCCAAAAAAATATTCCTTTTTTGTTTGCTAAAACTAGAGAAGGGCGACCATTAAATAAAAAATCAAGTAGGTTGCGATCTTATTTGGCACATTTTGTCCCAAATAATTGGTTAGACTTAAAACAGGGTTTTAGAAGAACAAACAGGAAACATAGTCGAAGCAGAAGCAGAAGCAGAAGCAGAAGAGAATGGCGAGTGGAATAGCAGGGGGAGGAGGGAGCGGGGGAGTGGAGTGGCACCAGAGGCCTCCAAATGCTAGGAACCCGATCGTCTTCTTCGACGTAACCATCGGAAGTATACCCGCCGGCCGTATCAAGATGGAGCTCTTCGCCGACATCGTTCCCAAAACGGCCGAGAACTTCCGGCAGTTCTGTACCGGAGAGTATAGGCAAGTTACTTTTACACAATTATTTTCATTGCTCCATCCATCTCGATACTAAAATCCACTTTTAGGTCTCAAATATGTTGCTTTATGTTGGATTCTCATGATACAAAAAACCAAGAACAAAATTGATAATCGTAGTAAATGACAAAGTCATTACGATAGATAGAATTCTGAGGTAAAATTTTCAAAATATCAAAAGTGGATTTCGAGTCTAATAAAGGACTTAGGGTTGAATCATTAAAATCAAAAGTTCCTGTAACTATGGCAGATTACGAGTATTACTTTGATGATTGTTATTGTTTAAATTGTTTCTTTGATGGTAGTGGTATCTATATCTTCCCTTTCTATGTTCTTCAATGTTACAGTCCTTTTTATGCATTCAATTTTGTTGGGTTAGGGTTTTAGACTTGTCTTTAATGTTCATATTCATGGCATTTGGACACCCTTCCAAAGTGGAAAGAGTTTCACATTTCATATGGAATTACAAAAGATATGAGTGACATAATTGATAACCTGTAAAACATGACTATTCTTTTTACTAAAGAAATTGGTTTGTGAATAGTTTTACACAATTCATCTTTTCTACCCTCAATTTTTTTCTTCCATGTTATCAAGTCGTTTCTACTAATTTGTTATCTACTTTATCTACTGGATATTCTGCAGGAAATCTGGACTACCTGTTGGATACAAAGGATGCCAATTTCATAGGATAATCAAGGATTTTATGATACAAGCTGGTGATTTCTTAAAGGTTTGTTTCTTTTCTTTCCACACACATTATGCTTCAAATCACTATTCATTCCATTTTATCTTGAAGTGTGACTATAATGCTAATGGAATTCCTGAAGTTGAATGACAATTATTTATTTATGTACTTCTTAGCATCTCAACTGTTGATGCTCAAATTATGTATCTGTTACTTTAAAGAAAGAAACATCATGAATCATGAATTCATGATAATAAGTAATTTACACATTGAAATTGCTTATAATCAGAAGAGAATTAGAAAATAATAAAGGAAGACTTGTATGCAGGGTGATGGCAGTGGATGTGTATCCATATATGGAAGTAAATTTGAAGATGAAAATTTTATTGCTAAACATACTGGACCTGGTCTTTTGTCAATGGTAAGTAAAATTTTACCATTATATTTTTGTTACTCATTCATATGTAGAATTTGGTTTATATTCTCTTGTTTTCTTTCTTTTTTATTTGTTAAATTGATGGAGTACACTTGTTGAAGAATAAATCAATAAACTTAAGCAATTTTTATATAACACCCCTTGAGAATAGGAAGCATACATTCATTCATAGAGATAAACATTGGAATAATATTCAATTGAAAAACCATAGTGTAAATGTGGCAACATAAATACATAATCACTTAACAATAAATCTAAATACTCTATTACTATAAAACATATGAGCACAAAACATAGGGAGTAATATCAACTTAATGAAATTGGAAGATATTTTGATGACAACTAAAGCTGAAAACAAACAGAAGAAATTCGGTTTCTATCACCAAAAAATAGATTTTTCGTATTAAAAAAAAAGTTAATTTCAAAAAAGACCTTATATTTTTTGTTTTTTTCTGGATTAAACCTCAATAAAAATTGCCTGAAAGACCTTGTATTTTTTCATTTTTTCCGATCTGGGCCTTTTAGTAATTTTTTCCAAAAAAAAATTTGTATAATGTGAGAGTCTTTTTGAGAAAAACTAAAAAAGTTGAGGGTTTATTTGGAAGCATTTAGAAGGTAGAGTTTTTTTAGGAAAAAAAAAAGGTAAATCTACAGAAAAGTCTCAAACTTTTGGGAAAAGTTTCAATAAAGTCCTAAAAGTTTTTTTTTTTTTTTAAACAAAAAACTGAAAAAGTCCTGATTATTTAACATTTTTGCTTGAATTAACGAAAAACTCCTTTTTAATATTTGAGAAGCAAATGACAGATTATATGATTTTCTCAAAATAATGCGACTTTTCTGTTCAAAAAAAAACTTTTAGGACTTTATTAAAACTTTTTCCAAAAGTTTGTGACTATTCTGTAGATTTCCCAAAAAAAAAAAAAAACAAAGTTGGGGGCTTTTTCGGAAAAACTGATATGCAAAAAATAAATTTGAGGTTTAATCCGGAAAAAACACAACATATAAGGTATTTTTTTAGATTAATATTTCATATTTTTACCGAAGTTGATATGCTTTTATAATATTGATCATAATATCACAAGATTTATGCATTTTTTTTTTTTAAATCTTTGCAGGCCAATAGTGGACCAAATTCTAATGGGTGCCAGGTACTTGTAATTTTTTTATTTTCTTTATAATATTTATTACTAAAATAATATGACATATTATTTGTAATAAAGAATTACCTTGTAATGTTTTTTTATTTCTTTTGCAGTTTTTTTTGACTTGTGCTAAATGTGATTGGCTTGACAATAAGCATGTGGTATTTGGGGTATGTTCCTTTTTTCTCCTTCTGCAAAATGAAAAAATAAAAATAAAAATAAATAATAACTACTTTCATCATAAATTTACCATGTACTTATAGCAATGTCATTCAAATATGAAACAATTTTCATTAGTGACATCAAACCTTTTTTTTTTTCTTTTAAATATTAGGGCTAAATGTAAGAAAATGCAACATACTTTATAGGGTTAATCTCATAAAAGACCTTATATTTTGTGTTTTTTTTCTGGATTAAACCTCAACATTAATTTTTGCCTGAAAAAGACCTTGTATTTTTTTTTTTTCATTTTTTCCGAAAAAAAAAACCCTAAACCTTCTAAACTGCATCTAAATAAAACCTCAAACTTCTTTAGTTTTCTAGAAAACCTCACATTTTACATTTTTTTTTGGGTTAATCTCATAAAAGACCTTATATTTTTGTGTTTTTTTCCAGATTAAACCTCAAATTTATTCTTTTACCTGAAAAAGGCTTTGTGTTTTTTTTTTTTTTTTTCCGATATGGCCCTTTGTCATTTTTGCCAAAAAAAAGTTGTAAAATTGAGGGTTTTTTCGAGAAAAACTAAAAAAGTCGAGGGTTTATTTGGAAGCATTTGGAAGGTTGAGGGGTTTTTTTCGTAAAAAAACAAAAAAATACAAAGTTGAGGGCTTTTTCGGAAAAAAATGAAAAAATTACAAGGTCTTTTCAGGCAAAAAATAAATTTGAGATTTAATCCAGAAAAAACACAAAAATATAAGATCTTTTATGAGATTAACCCTACTTTATATTCCATTATTTTTGCGTATTAGATTATCCTATGTTCATTTCTTTCTATTTCAACATTCTACTTGCAATTCTTTTCCTATTAACACATTGAAAAATCTACCTAATAATAGTATTATTGTAATTTGATTTATTTTTCTTGATAAAACATTATGCTTCAAAAAGTTTACCCTATTATAGCAATTCTTGTATTTAAATGAAAGTAAATAAACACTTTAATTGTTTTTATTTTTTATTTTTTTTTACAGAGAGTTCTTGGTGATGGTCTTTTGGTGGTGAGGAAAATTGAGAATGTGGCGACTGGACCAAATAACCGCCCTAAACTGCCATGCATTATCGCTGAATGCGGGGAGATGTGATGGGGAGATGTGATGTGATGTGATCTATTACATTAGTTATCATACCAAAAAACGAAATGACTAAAATAACCCTGATCAAATTTAGAGCACTACTAGCTAAGCCAAAGAAAGGGTGTTTACAATTGGATATTTGAAATTTTAGATAACGTATCGATGGGATTTTCGGATTCAGATATTTTTGAACACCCTTTTGAACTTTTTATAATATTATGTTGACAAAATTCTATGGTTTTGGTCCAAAAAGTTTTGGTGGTGCAACAGTGGTCCAATTTTAGATACTTTGTGTGGATCTGTCCTTATGGTTATCATTTTCTTGTGGGTTTGGTTCATACCTTACCTAAAATGATAATTATGCCCTTAATTGATTCCTTTTTAATTTCTTTTAATTAATTAAAAAAACCGAAAAGCCCACCCCACCTCCCTTTAATCAACATCCCTCTCTCTTTCTCTCTCTCTCTCTCTCTCTCTCTCTCTCTCCACCGGACTTCAATCCACCATCGTCAACCACTACAACCTCAAAATCTTTAATCAATTGTCACCACCATATCTTCATCTCCACCATAGAAGCGACTGAAAGCCAACGTTCATATTCCAATCACAACCACTACCACCTGTCAACACCACCAATATCTGTTTAATTTTGTCTCCTCGATGTGGAAATCAAAGCACAATAACTAGAAAATTACAGATCAGAGAAGTGAAAAAATATTAGATTGAATATGAAATACATCAAAGCACTTCAAGAACTTAGAGGATTTCAGCAATTTAAGAACGTTCTCTAGTGATACTCAATTTTTTCATTGTTGTTTGATTTCTGTTCGAATAAGATGGGAATTTTATTATCGATTTATACTAGTGTGTATGTGTGTATTAAGTACATGTATCTTATGAACAAAAAGGGTCCAAAGAGGGATAAAGAGAAGGGGTGGGCACAGTAGGTATAATATGTGTATGTGTGTTTTCAACCTCTTCTCATCTGCAACCATTTTCGATTAACCTCTACCCACCGATACCATCTCATACCACTATTCACGTTTCATCTTTGACAACCACAAACTTATATCCTCAAATCAAACTAAAATTCAACACCAAACCATACCAAATCAAAATCAAGAACAAACCCGCAACCTGCAACTAATATCAAAGCCTGCAAATCTTTTCAAGTCTTTTTAGTTCCAATAATTGCCCCCCTCAGATCCAAAAAATTGAAAATGGTTTTAGAAATCCATTCCCCATCAAGAAGGCGTCGACAGGCTAAAGGAGGGAGGGGGAGGCGGTGGAGGAGATTGCCGATGGTGGAAGATGAGTGTAGATGCACCGACGACTGTGGAGGTTCTTCAATCAAGGTTGCAGACAACAACCAGTTTTTTTGTAATTTGGGAATGGGCTAAGGGTCTGAACGGGAAAGGAAAACGAGTATGGTGGGTTTTGTTTTTTGTTTTTTGTTTTTATTATTTTTTTAAATAAAAATAGATAATAAAAAAATCGAAAAACAAAATATAAGAACATAATGGTCCTTTTAAGAAGATAGGGACTAAAAATAATAGAAAGATCCAATTTTAAACAAGTGGTGCAACATTTTCGATCATTTTTATAATTTTGTCTATTATGTGCGACTAATTTGTTCTTTGTCATATTTGAGACACCTTTTGTTTGAATTTTAACAAAGGCATTTTAATGCAAACAGAATGATTTTATAGGTAAATTTGTAAAAAAAAACATATTGTGTAAGATTTTAAGTTCAATTATGCACTTAAAGTTTCTTTGTTGTGCAAAACCACCCCTTCTTAATGAACTTAATGCAAACACCTCTTCTTTTTTCAGTTATGCCTTTGACAAAATTGCAAAAATGGTCCCTGTGGTTGGCAAAATTCTGCAGTTTTGGTCCAAAACAAAATTTTGGTACACCACTGGTCCAAAATTGGATCTTTCTATTGTTTTTGGTCCCTATCAGCATAAAAAGACTATTATACCCTTAAATTTTTTTTTTTTAATTTTTTTATATTTATTCAAATGTTTTTCATTAATTAAATTGAGAAATCTCTCTCTCTCTCTCTCTCTCTACATGATTCATTAGAGGAAGAAATAGGGCATGTTCATCATCTCTCCCTCTCCACAACTAGAGATGCACAAAACCCGAATCCGATCCGATCCGATCCGGATCCGAATCCGATCCGGTTTCGCTTACGTCATCAAAAATCCGATCCAGTCAAAATCCGATCCGAATCCGGTCAAAATCCGATCCGGTTCTAACCAAAATCCGAATCCGATTCTAATCCGATTTGAAACCGGTTTAAATCGATTTTAGTGGGTTTTAATCGGATTTTGGGGCGGATTTGGATCCGGTTTTTAGCGAATCCGGTTTACGATCCGGTATCAAATCCGATTTGGAATATAGGATTAGGATCCGATTGAAAATCCGGTTTTAAATCCGATCCGATCCGGTTTGGTCAAAACCGGTTTTGACCCAATCCGGTTTCGGATTGGATCCGATTTTGAATAGTGAAACCGGTTTTTGTGTGCATCTCTATCCACAACCTGCAACTAAAAACAAAAACATATGAACATCGTCTTCTTTGAGAGGAAAACGGGATTGTGTGAGAGATAGAGATGCAGAGAAATGGGTCCAGGAAAAGAAAATGGTTGCAAAGGAAGACTCGATTCACTCTTTCTCTTCCACCACCATCTCCGTTCTCTGATCATATCAACCACCATCTATCCACCGCCACCACCATACAAATTCAGTCTCACCACCATCACCTTCATACATTATTAGATTTTTTTTTTCACAAATCTCAATCATTCAAGAATCACCATCGAGATTAGTCTAACATAAACAAGAATGAATCAACATCATGTGAGGTAGAATTGATTAACAAATTGTAAAGCAAATCGTGAATGATAAAACAGATAACGTGATACCTATTCAACCATTTCAGAACCTGATTCAGCATACCAAAACCCCCACCATCTCAATCAATTTCGAGAATCATCATCGATTATCAACCTAACAACTTATCACTACCATTATTCCTCTTGATAAACCATCTCCCAAGACACCTTAATCACCCACAATCGAACACCTTCCTTCACCCCTTTCCTGAACCACCAGACAACCCTTAAATCGGATCCTTGAGAGTTGCGATCAAAAATACATATACACACCTATTAATCGAGCGATTAAGGTTTACCGGGTTTAAAGTGGTTGACTCTTGACAGATTTGAAATCGATTTCGTCCCCTTATATGTATTCAACTTCTCAATTGATTTCAAAAAGTGTGTGTGTGTGTGTGTGTGAATCCTTACTAAAGCGATGATGAGCTAAGAATTCTTCCAAATATGCAGACTGTTGTTTTAGAGAGAGAAAAAGACGAAATAGGGACAAAGAGAAGTGAAGATTTAGGTATTGTGGGATGGTAGGCTGAAAATGTGATTTGATGAAGAAACTGATGAAGAAGATAAACTGATAAAGAAACCGATGAAGTGAAGATTTGGGTTTTTTTTTAGAGAGAGCGAGAGAGAGAGAGAGAGAGAGAGAGAGAGAGAGAGAGAGAGAGAGAGAGGTATTATTTTCTTTTTATTTTTTAATGAAAATAGTAATAAAAAGTTAAAAATAAATAAATAAGAATCATTAAAGGGCAGATTCGTCATTTTAGGTTGAGTTTGGACTAAAAACACACAAAATATCAACCATAAGGACCAAAACCACACAAAGTATCTAAAATTGGATCAATGGTGCACCAACATTTAATTTTGGACTAAATCTGCAGAATTTTGCCAACCACAAGGACCATTTTTGCAATTTTGTCTATGCCTTTTTTCGTTTGCTTGCTGCAAAATTACATAAAAGCTACTGTCATTTTATATTTCTTTAACTACCGAGAAAATATTTTTTCCCTGATTTAATAATTTTAACAAAAGCATTGAATGTTTTCTTTATCGATAGTTCATATGGTATTGCTTTTGTTGCGTTGTTCCTCTTCCCATGAAATAAAAAAGACTATTATTCTTTAATAATTTAATTTTTAATTTATTTATTTATCGTTTACTATTTATTATTTATTAAAATTAAAATGGCCCCACGCTATTTATAATTTTTATGGCTAAATGATATATATATATATATATATATATATATATATATATATATATATATATATATATATTAGACGGTTAACAATTGCAAATTTTAGTCAGTTTCTCCAAAATTCATGGTTTTGTGGGTTTTTTTTTTAATTCCAAAGTCTGAATTATTAAATCAGGAAAAAAAATATTTTCTCAGTAGTTAAACAAAGAAATATAAAATGATAGTGGTTTTTATGGAATTTTGCAGCAAGCAAAAGAAAAGACATAATTGAAAAAAGAAGGGGTGTTTGCATTAAGTTCATTAAGAAGAAGTATTTTTGCACAACAAAGAAACTTTAAGGGCTGTTAAGGTAAATATAACAAACAAAGACCATTTGGAAGATCAGCCTTGCAACACCACATTGATCCGCCTCCTCACTGCTTTGTTTTCGTTTGGAGCGACGAATCGAAAGTAAACAAGAAAGAGAAAATGGCGTTCGCGATGAGAGTGAAGGTTCCACCAAACTCAGCGAATTTACAAGAAGCTAGGCATCGAACCTTTGATTTCTTCCGTGCAGCTTGCAGATCTATTCCTTCGATCATGGATATTTATAACCTATACGATGTTGTAAACCCTTCTGAGCTTCGCTCCACCATCGCTGCCCAAATCCGCAAGAACGCCCATATCACTAACCCTAAGGTATCTCCTAACCCCATATCGCCTTTAATTTCATTTTTGTTGTTGTATATCTCCAATCTAGGTAAGAGACTAAGTAAATTTGTCGTTCTAGCTATTTATCTGATGGGTATGTTTGGATTTCAAAATTCTCTAGGGGTTTTGGTGTTTTGGGGATTTAGAGTAATGTTCCTCCCACTGGACTTCAGTCAAATTCTGTCATTGTCGCTTTGAGCTATACTAATCGTGTATGTAAAATGTTCTAGCTTTAAGTTGATAAGTTAAAGCTTTGCTATAAGTTGAAGAAACTCGTTTATAAATACACATCAAGTTGTTTATTCACTTCTTAAGAGTCTTGAAGCTTTTATAGATTTTGTCAAATGCCTAAAGGGTTTTAATGGTTATGCCATCTAGAATGCTGTGTTGTATACATCTTTTTAAAAGATTTATCCTCTACTCTTCTCATTTCTTGGTCCTTTTCAAGTAATTTACTTACAAATTCCTGTTAAAAATCATTTAAATGAAAATTAGCTCACTAAGGTTTTGTTGCAACATCTTTATCATCCTGGATTTGTTGGGAGTATGAAGCCTAAGAATCATTTAGGGAGTTCAGTCAACTTAATGACTATTTTATTGGAATCAACCATTCCATTCTTTCTCCTATTAATATCTCTACATATAAGCTTCATATTTAGTTTTTTTTTTCCCTCCATTAAACAACCAAAATTTTCTTTCGTTAACAAACAAAACTACACTCCAATCCTCCATCTCCTTCAAAAACTTAAAAATCATTAGAACAAAAAAAGAACCTAACTTGACACCCAAAATAAGTACTTTTCATCTCTTTTTTGCTTCTTTAATGATTTAACCCTTTATTCTTATGATCTTATCATTACATATTACCTAATCTATCTATTTTTTTATATACTTACTCGTGTATAATTCTTATTAACTTATTTTAATTGATCCTTCCAAAAACCTCATCTTCCTTGATTTGTTTGAGAAATTCTTTTGAAAAGAGAAAGAATGAAAATTTGAGAAATGCATGTTGAATGAAACGTGAAAAAACAAAAATTTTAAATTTTGAGAAACTCATTTTGGAGAAATTTCTTTCAAAAACCTATGTTGAGGTATTTCATAGTGATCTACGCATCTATCTAGAATAATTGTTTAATGTAAAATGACTATCATATTTATTCCGAATAAAAAAGTCCAAATGGCAAAAATTATTCAAGTAAAAGTTATTTGATCTATTGATAATTGAACATAATACTCCTCTCATGTTAAAATTGATGAATATTGTGACATTTGTTTTGATTGGGAATGTAAGGGTAAAATGGTCATTTTGTAGGTGATTGATATGCTGCTATTCAAGGGAATGGAAGAGTTGAGCAACATAACAGAACATGCAAAGCAACGACATCATATTATTGGCCAATATGTGGTTGGTAATAAAGGGCTTGTTCAAGATGTGGATACAAAGGATGAAGGATTATCTCCATTTCTCAAAAATTTCTACAATTCCAACTACTAATGAACATCTCAATCCCCATGATTAAGTCTTGTTTTATGTGTTGGTTTTCAAATAAAAACATGTTTCTTGGATTCTTGTATGAATAACATCATCCTTTTGCTTATTACAAGCAAATTTGTTGGATACTAAAACAAAATTTTCTCTAAGTCTTTTTTGGGGGTTACCCTTTGTTGGCTATACAATATGGAAATTGATGCTTGTTTATCCACTTTAGATTTCAAAATGGTTGAGTGTTACTTTCAATATTTGATGGTTAGAAGGTGAGAAGGGTATTTATGTCTTTCACATATTGGAAAGAAAGCGAGATTGTATGTGTGTGTGTTTTTTTTTTAAAAATTATTTATTTGGGTGGACAAAAGTTGTAATATTTGTTTTCTTGAGATTAATTTTACTCTCAGTCCAATGCATCACAAACATAGACATAATCATATTATTTTAATAATATTTCGAAGCATGATTATGAACATTATTTTGTTGTATAAATTGAATAAAAAAAATTGATACACGATATATATATATATATATATATATATATATATATATATATATATATATATATATATAATATATGTATGCAATCAACCGTGCGAAAAATATATCGATACAAGGTTGGTAATTATTGGAATTGAAGTTTAAAATTGTTTATTTTTTATACTAACCAAATCTCTGTCTTTAACCTTTAAGACTAGTAATAATATTGAGCAAATGGTGAGCCAACTCAACGTATCTTTAATTTTTAGGAAGAGAAAATAATGGCAAAACAGATTGGTTTTTAATATTTAAATATGATTATTAGATTAAAATAATAATATAAAAGCACTTGCGAAGTCTTTGAGATATAGAAAGATGAAGTACTAAATGACATTAAATACTTGCTTAGTGACATTGTGTCATTGCAAATTATGTTTGAAAGAGATGATGAGAATGGTCTTATGATTACATCTTTAGAACTTGAAAGACTTGTAATAATATTAATTCTTTTTATTTTTTTATTTAATATACTTAATATATTAACTTTTTATTATATAAAAGTATTTATAAATTAGATATCCTTTAAGTTTTATATTTTTAAAATCAATTGTTTATATATTATAACTAAGAGTAAGATAAAGTGCTTTTCCGATGTTAACTTTTTTGAAATGTTTAGTTAGTTTAATTAAAAATTTATTATTATTTGAATAATAGATATTAATAATTATTGTTTATTTAAATTATAAATAATTATATTCATGTTATTCTATTATTCAATAATTAAGAAATTGTTAAAAATATATAGTAGTTGAGTTGTGAGACCATATTTGAAAGATAATTGATATTGCATAGTGATGTAGAAACAAGGGAAATCTAAAAAAAAAAATCCTAATATTTTGGGAAATTTTTTAATAAAGTCATAAATTTTATTTTTTGAACAAAAAAATTCTGACATTTTCACTTTTTGAATAGAAAAGCCCAAGAAATCGGCTAATTTATTCATTTTAGGTTATTTTGACCTGTTCAGCAGGTCATAAGACTAAATTGTTAATTTTTCGAATATAATGGAACTTTTTTGCAGATTTCATTAAAATTTGTATATAATGTATAAACATATTTTTTATGCATTTATATTTATTTTTACGTATTTGTGTAACTTTTTAAGTTTTTATATGTATATATTTACGTATTTTTATGTATTTTAGATGTATAAACATATTTTTTTTCACTTATTTATATGTATTTTTAACCATTTTACATATTTTTTAATGTATTTTTATGTGTTATTTTGTTACGTATTTATATCTATTTTTAAGTATTTTACATATTTTTTTGAGTAAATTACACGAATGGTCCCTATGGTTTATGTTGGGTGCAAAGTTATCTATGTATGACTTTGCAAATGTGCTGATTTTTGTAAAATCCACTTGCATGTGGTGCATTAGTCTTTTGACTTATGAGATAGAGAGTGAGAGAGAGAGACATGTAATCACCTCTATATAAGGTGGGTTCATACCACTTGTAGAGGGGTGCTTAAGAGATGTAACATTGAGCGTGTATGTGTGTGTGTTATTTATGTAGATTTAAATCTAGATCCCTTTTTGTGTAACACCATACATAATCGAATGCATCTCTTAACCACCCAAATCACTATGTTCATTGTGTGTTCTTTAATTCCGCATGTCAAACCATGTTCATAAATCACTACAGTTTAGGGTAATTTGCGTGTTTGGTCCCTAACTTATTTTTTTTAACTCGGAAGATCCCTACTGTTTGTTTTTATTACGTGTTTGGTCCCTGTCTTACCTAAAAAAAGTATTTTGTCAGTGATTTTTTAATTTATTCAAATAAACACACCCTCAACCCCCCCCCCCCCCCCCCGCGACCTTACTTTACCTATCCTATTATTTTTTTTCTATTTAAATAATAGTTTTTTTAGATAAGATATAGACCAAACATGTAACAAAAACAACCAGTAGAGACTTTCTGAGTTTGAAAAATAAGTTAAGGCACCAAACACGCAAATTAATCCAAATCATAGGGACCATTCATGTAATTTTTATGTATTACGTATTTGTGTATTTTTTAAAGTTTTTTTTTATAGATCTTTATGTATTTTTATGTATTTTAAATGTATAAACGTATTGTTTTACTTATTTATATGTAGTTTTTTTAAGTATTTTACATATTTTTTGTGTGTTTTTATGTGTTTTTTATGTATTATGTATTTGTATGTATTTTTGCGTATTTATGTATTTTTTTTAGTTTTTTTATATAGATTTTTATGTATTTTTCATATTTAATCGTATTATTTTTAGGTATTTATGTATTTTTTTTTTACTTCAAGTCATCTTCATCATTTCATTTAATTCGCACAGTTTTTTCAAGTATGTCTAGATGGTTTTACTACATACCCATATATTTTAAGCTTTTTCCATTCAATGTTTAATTTCAAGACAAGTTAATGGGAATAGCTTAAAATATATGGGTATGTAGGAAAACCATTTAGACATACTCGAAAAAGTCATATGAATTGTATGAAATGGTGAAGACAACTTGAAGTAAAAAAATACATAAATACATAAAAAAAAAATACAATTATACATTTAAAATACATAAACATCAATATAAAAAAAACTTTAAAAAAAATACATAAATATATAAAAATACATATAAATATGTAATACATAAAAACACACACACACACACACACATATATATATATATATATATATATATATATATATATATATATATATAATACTTAAAAATACATATAAATATGTAACAAAATACGTTTATGCATTTAAAATACATAAAAATACATAAACATCTATATAAAAAACTTAAAAAAAAAATACATAAATACATAATATATATATATATATATATATATATATATATATATATATATAACAATAACACATAAAAATAAATAACAAATCTATAAAATACTTAAAAATGCATATAAATACGTTAAAAGGTATGTTTATAAATGTAAAATACATAAACAATGTAAACATATACATATAAAAACTTACCAAAAGACATAAATATGTAAAAATATAAATGAATACATAATACATAAAAATACATAAACAATTGTGTAAATACTTAAAAATATATATAAATACATAAAAAAATATGTTTATACATTTAAAACACATGAAAATGCGTAAACATATACATATAAAAACTTAAAAAATACAAAAGTACGTAATAATAGATATAAATACGTAAAAGAAATACGTTTATACATTATATATAAGTTTTGACGAAATCTGCAGAAAAACCATATTGTATTGGAGAAATTAACGATTTGGTCCTATGACCTGCTGAACATGTCAAAAATGGCTAAAGTGAATAAATTAACCGGTTTCATGAGCTTTTCTATTCAAAAAGTTAAAAAGTCAGTACTTTTCTATTCAAAAAATAAAACTTATGACTTTATTAAAAATTTTTCCAAAATACTGAGACTTTTCTGTAGATTTATCGTAGAAACAATTGCTTTCAAGAATATATTGATGGACAATTCGATTTCTATTGTTGAAACTATTAAGATATATGTCATGGAGGGCATAAATTTTATATTTTGTGAAAAAAAAAAATTTGAAAATCCAAAATTGACATTTGGATTTTTTGTAATTGTGATTCCTTATTCAAATGAAGCAAAGGTAGAAGCTACCGGTGGCTACGCGAGAGATTTTAGGCCTCGTTTGATACTCATCTTTTCAGGTCCAAACAAATCTTTCTGACTGAATGGACTGAAAAGACTGTTTGATTTGCACCAAAGAATGGGTCTTTCCCGGTAAGATATGTCTTTCCCAGAAAACCCCAAAATTATATCTTTCTGGCTGAATTGGCTGGAAAGACAATTATACACTAAACCCCATCTCTTTCTTTCTTTATTGGATTATTAATTTTTTAAATAACTTTTTTTAAATTTATTTTTTATGGAATTATTACTTTTTTTCATCATTCAGCACAATCAATTAGATGTACAATCAAACAGTAGGGTTTCTTTCCCAGTCAGAAAACTTTCCCAAATAGTCCTTTACCAGACAGCACTTTCCCAGATAGAAACTATCAAACGGGACCTTACTTTATTTTAATTTTTGAAAGTATGAGATTTTTTTGGGTTTTTACAGGGGAAAAAATGATGCAAAAGAGGGGTTTTCAGCAAAATAGAGTGAACAAAAATATTATATGAGTAAATTACTGAAATCGTCCCTGTGGTTTGGTCAAAATTACACGTTTGTTCCCTAACTTTTTTTTTTTGCACTCGTGATTTTGTTGCGTTTTTCGTCCCTATGGTTTGGTAAAAATTGCATGTTTGGTCCCTAACTTTATGTATGTAAGGGACGAAAAATGCAATAAAATCAAACCACAGGGACGAAAAACGCAACAAAATCAAACCATAGGGACGATCTGAGTCCAAAAAAAAGTTAGGGACCAAACGTGCAATTTTGACCAAACCACAGGGACGATTTCAGTAATTTACTCATATTATTTTACGAAAAGATGAGTTTAGCTCAGTAAAATTAGGGATGAGCATATAGACCGGGGAATTGGCCGGAACCGGAATCGGAACCGGAACCCGATGGAACCGGTCGGGTCGGGTCGGGTCGGGCCGGGATGTTATTTTTGTGGATTTTTGGAACCGGAACCGGTAGGAACCGAAACCAATATTACCGGAACTGGTAGAACCGGTAAAAACCGGTAGACCGGCAAAAACCGGAACCGTATGATGCTATTTTTCGAAGATCGATTCCAACATTTGAAGACACGACAAGAACCGGTAGAACCGCCGGGCCGGTTTGGTTCTTGATTTTGGCCGAAGCCGGTTTCCGATTCCGGTCCGGTTCAGGCCGGTTCGGTCCTTTTGCTCATCTCTAAGTAAAATATATGATGAAATCCAATTCCAAGTGGGGTCCATCCAATATATTGGATTTGCCAATGGCTAAGGAATTAGGTGACATGT